ATCCCCTTCTCTGCCTCATGATCCCCTGCATATAGGGGTATCATCGTTTATTTTGCTGAATAATAAACCCTACTTTTGTTCTAGGTGGCTGTAGGTCGTAACAATCGTTTCTTGCTCTGGGTGTGTCTGTCTCATTGCTGCGAAGATTGGATTCGGTGTAAAGTGTGGAATCGCCATGGAGCTGAAGCGTAAGAACAGAAAAGCCGGTTACACCGAATCGGGGTCCAGGGAAGCTAGCAAAACGAATGTAAAACGCGCGTCATTCCCAACAACTGATTTTTGCGTTCTACAGATTTAATTTTTACGCGTTTTTGCCATGCGGCGCTAGAGCGCTGCAACAGGCAGCAAAACGCATATTGTGACGACCCTGTCTGCGTGTGCTTGGGCGTGTACGTTTGTGTGTGTGTGTGTGTGTGTGTGTGTTCGCCTGCGGGGCCTTTTCGCACACCAGCAACTTTCCATTTGTTGGGTTATTGAAGTCGACATCTACAACTGATATACCACATAGCTGCACAATTAACTTCCTGAACTTCGAGGGTCAGTATCTCACAAATTCTAGCTACTGTGATTCCTTGCGATTTTGCTACAGCACGAAACAGTGCAAAAATGCATGATCGCGCCGGTCCGCCTCAGCTTGGGTTATATATTTTCTTCTACACAGATGGACGATTCTTACTTCACGCCTGCTACCGTAAAGGATGAAGAGAGGATAAGCAAAGATAATAAGGGATTATAAATATCTAGGGCTGTATCTTGATCTAAACGCACTGCTACAGTCTAAACGACAAAATTAGATTACCGTCGCTGGTTATAAAGGCGTTTTTCTTCGTCAGTCATTCGGTGATAGCGCAATCGTGCTGCTTCCGCTTTTTTGGCGTTTTGCTCGATGATGTGTTGGCGAAGCTTCTCCTCATCCATGCCATTCTTTTTTGTTCCTAAAACATCGTTTTTTCTTCCTTTTTTTTGTACTATACAAAATCTAGACAAATGAGATAAAACACGGAATATGTAGCATTAAAAACTACTGAGTTTTGACAAATTAGTCAAAATGCATGACAAATAGGACCTGGCGTTTTATCAAAAAATCATCAAATACAAAACAAGCATCAAAAATGTCATATCAAGTCTTGTCAGAAATTTTCAACTCCCTATTTAAAATAACCGCTTATTCGTCTAAGTGCCGCCCCAGGACCACGGTACCAACCCTCAAGCACGTATGGGAAAATTTTGGCTGAAAAATCACTAACTCGGGAATCGGAAAAGCTAAAGAGCTGAGATTTTGAGGTTATGTTCCACGTCCAAATAGAAATCGAAGATTATGATCGCAATAAAAACTGATACTTCGAGAAGTAATTTTTTAAATGCTTTTGTAGCCATCGAGCATAAGGTCAGGCGTCCTATGCTAATCCTGGCCTACTTATACAAGCAGATTAAAAATCACGGTATGCGTCATGAGCGGGCACGACTAAGCAATTTTACAAGAATTTGTACTGTGAGCAGAAAAAAAGATTTTAGAAGTGTCAGCACATAAGAAAATCTATTATACGCTGCTATGCCCCTCCTCACAACATTTCTTCGCCCAGCCATTGCCCTGAGATCATTTAAAAGTCAATGATCCTTAAACGCCCAGCACAGAAAGCAGTCAGTTCTCCGGGCGTATAAAAAGCTCCTTTCTCTTAGAATCAGTAAGATGTTTTTTTTTTTTTTTCACTAAAACGCACTGACGCTTCTGTCTACTCACAAGATTTAGCGCTATTATGCGTTTTGTGCTGTGTAACAGCAGTACAAAACGCATATTGTCATGGGGTTGTCTGTGTTTGT